GAGAGAAGAAGAAGAGAAATAAGAGAGGACAGGGTGAGATTAAAATTGTTTGAATTGAGTCCACACTCGCCCCATTCATTTGGTATTCTGCTCAAATCAGGGCTTTTGTTCGGCCTGGCGTAAAGTAGTGTCAATCATCTCGACCCGGTTTTGTAGAATGGGGAAATTTATTATGAATTTGCTCCTGCAAATAATGAGGACTACCCCCTGCCTGTTCTCCCTTTCCCTCCTCCTTCTCCCTCTAAGCTACCTCTTCTCAGTCCCCTTTGCCTCCTCCCCCATATCAATGCTGCAGAATAGGCAATAGAGAGTGAAGTTAGCAATCTCAGGGCCACTCGCACTCTGGACCCACATCAAAGTGACAGAGACGTCCAATCAGATTTGTCTTACAGGCATTACATGATGAATATGGTGCGGCCGTAGCACAAAAGCGTCTTTGTGTCTCCTCCAAGCAGAGACTATTCACAGCTCGCCACAGCCAGCCAGAGTGGAAGTAAATGGCCAAAAGGGCCCAAGCCAGAAAAAAAGCACCCAAACTTGTGCAGCACAATGGCCCATGCAAATCACAGCCCCACCGCCTCCACCCAATCACACATCCCTACCTCCTCCATCCCTCCAACCTTCAGGCCTGAGCTGGGTTCTTCCTCTACTGGGTCGACCGAAGTTTAGGGCCTATTCACACACATACAGAGGTGTCAGTTAAAAGTGCTGAGGTGAATGCATGCATGCATTCAAACGTCTTTTCTCCGTTAAGCTGAGAAAGAAGACTTTGCTTTCTTTTAGTTTGGGAAGACAGAAGAAAAACATGAGTCAAATTGCTGACTTTTTTTTTTTGTCAGAAAGCAAAAGTGACTTGGGCAAGATTCCTACTAGTAAGTAGTAATTCGACTTTAGGGGTAGAGAAAAGGCTTTTGCAGCATTCTTGTGTGGACCTGTAATATTTGCTGAAAAATACAATGTGACAGGCCTAATTTGGCAAAGATAAAGATCTTGTATTGACACTTATATTCAAGTGGGCTTTCAGTTCTAACTTTAGGACACCTTCAAGAGATATTCAGAAATTAGGCTACAATGAAGGAGTTAAAAAAAATAACAGGTTAGTACAAATCATAAAAACTCTAAAGAACAAGCAGGTTTCTCTATGAAATTTTGATTTGATCGTCTTAAAAGCTCGTAGGAAAAACATGTTGCTTACTCCAGCGTCCCTAGCAGGTAACTGAATGGATGCGGAGTCCACACACCACGCTTGGTGTTAGCAAATGACACATTTGCTGAGATATGACCTCAGCTCATGTTTAGCCACTTTAGCATTAGATTAGATTAGAGAAACATTTTGGTATCTGAAAACTCTAAAGCTTCACATCTATGAAGAAAGTGTATGAAGAATAGGAGCAAATCTATTGCTGTGAAGAATTTTCGCTTTTTGGAGCACCCCCTGGTGGTCCATTTTCACACTTTGGTCCGAAGATCATTTACACCAAATTTGTTTAATATCATTTGGAAGCTTTTAAATGGGTTTCATTTTTTAAAAAGGGGTTTGAAAGTTGCATCCAACAATAAATACCGAGACTAGACTTTTACTTACTTGGTGAAACGACTTTGGTTAGTTTTGACGCAGATTTCAGTTCTTTGTGGCGCCAATGAAAGAAAAAATAAATACAATGTATAGACATTTCTGTATCTCTACAGCTTCACTGCTTAGACCCCAGTAATGCTTAATGAAGCATACGGCAGCTCTGAATTATTTCCAACATAGAGAGAAAGGTCACACTTCATGATAAACAGTTTTTTTTATTGTAATGGAAGCTTGAGTCATTGCCATACTTATTGTAATGTTACCTGTTAGTGTTTATGGGTTATTTTGTTGTGTTAGTAATGAGCTACTCTCAGATGGTTACTGTTGACAGGCAGTGTTGTGAGCGCACTGGTACAAGAGTCGATCCTGTGATGTGTGTCTTTTGGTTGCACCGGTGCCCAAGGGGTGGGAGATTAAGGACTTTGCTGAGTTGCTTGTTAGTGCACAGCTTTGGGAAAAAATGAACTCTTCTTTTTTTTAAGGCAAAAAAACCCTACAACAATAAACAGTCTTTCTACTACCTAGCTCAGGTAATAGCCGCAGGGTCCAGCTACAATAACTCTTTCCAAGTGTGTGTGTGTGTGTGTGTGTGTGTGTGTGTGTGTGTGTGGTGTTTCTATGTTAAACAGAAACACATCTGTGCCTCTGCTTAAACATTAACACCTCTGTAAGCATCGCTCAAGGTTGCACACCACCTACTCATCTGTCTTCTTCTTGCACTTATCTCTAAACATCTTCTCTTGTCTAACATGCTGCTAAAATCCTTATATTTGGTACCTCTTGAAGTTTTCTACCTTGTTTATCATATTTGTCTTCATTTAAAATACAAAAGCAAAAAAGGAAAGAGTTTCAGTGCACACACGTTAAGCACTCAGACTCTCTTCACTCACTTAAAAATGTTTTAAGTGCTTCTATCAGCCAAAATGAATCTGTTGTGGATTGTGTACATTTATTTTGATAGTGTTACATTAATGTTAAGCTTGAAAGGAGGTGATGATGTTTGTTAAGGTCATTATGAAAAATCAAAAACTGTGACACACTGACATGGTGGTATTAATCTAAAGCAATACTTTCAACAGGAGGATGTGACTCTGAGCCATGACTGGATGAGCCATTCACTCACATCTTACAGATTCTGACTATGCTTGGGGTAGTAGTACTTCAAAACATCCATCCAACATCCCTGAACTTGTCTTCACTAATGACCATAATAAGAATCCTTGTCCTCACAGACATCATCACAACAGTAAACTCAACCCTAAACCCCTTTACAAAGATTTTATATTAAATGAAAAGCAGAAATTTCATCCTGGGCTTTTTCAGATCCTTTATTTCAGTTACTACCAACCTGATTTAAAAACAGGACAAAGTAACAGTTGTCTCACATTTTAATGCAGCCATGACTTTTATTTTGATATGCTGAAATAATATTTCTATAACCCACTTTTTTGTCTTTGTTTTGCTAAAAAAGCGATGATTATACTTTTTGTTTCTATGGGAATCATCCCGAGTTGCTCACGTTTTGATTCAAGGGAAAGATAATGAAAAGAAAAACTGTTTGGTAAATAGTGTCAGTTAGACTGTAATTGCGTGTTGTCTGCCTTCGAAAATGATTCATGTTGTGGGATAACAAAGATAAACGTTTTTGCCAAAGGGGTCAAAACATTCGTACCCAACATATCCGAAGTAGCTCATTAATGTGCAAAATACGCATGCAAATGCGTCATGAAGAATAAGCCAAAATTCACCAGGCAAACTCAATACTGCATTCAAAGCAACAGATGACCTCTCATCACTCCGCTCTTGGCCAGTTTATCCCTATATTATACGTTCCCATTTGGCGTTTCCATGGTTTAAGCGTAAATCATGGCTTTGCGCACGAAAACGCATGCATAAATGGGCTCCATGTGATTGATATTCACCAGAGGACTATGGCTAAATTAACATCGCCCTTATGTATTGTCAAAGTGAAAATGAGCCATGGACAAAATGACATGAATAAATCTACTTTCGCCCCTTCTCCTCCCTACATGGCCGCGGAGAAAATTGCATATCAATCTTAGGAGGACATGAGACAAGCACTTATTTTTACTTTGTGCCGTGGCCTCTGCCTGACACTGAAGGACATAGCAAACGCCATTTCAGCCGAATAATAATGGACCAGCGGGGTATTTTGCGCCTAACATTGAGTTGTCTCTTTGAGGCGCGGTGACGTAGGAGGTTATAATGCCGAGCGTAATTAATGCCATTTATCACTTGTTTGATTTTGTCACTGCCTCCACCGACAGGGCTCACATTCGCGAGCCATTAACCAATGGGAGAGCCGGAGCCCTTTGTGACCAAGTACAGGCACGTGGCTTACACCTGCAGGCTCCATTGTGTGTGTGTGTGTGTGTGTGTGTGTGTGTGTGTGTTTGTGAGAGAGAGAGAGAGAGAGAGAGCGAGAAACATCTTACTCATCTTGACTTTGCTACTTTTTAACGTTTTTGTCCGGATATAAAAGTTGTTTTGATATCCGGCTATTGTGTTTACATACTTTTTGTTTTTAAGTAATATATGAAGTGATCAAAGGTGATTTAAAAAAAAACTTCTTAAAAAACTTCTTTAAATTTGTGGAAAAGTACATTTACAATTCACAAACAAGAGCAGCTTCTCTTGCTCCCGTTTTCCACACCCCAAAGGCGCGCCAGGTGAGAATAAACTCGTTATACTTCATTCTGCTTAGCTGAACACGGCATCAGTGTTTATTTACAATAGAAGATCTTCAATAATTCGTATAATGAGGCGCAAAGGCGCACACAATAGTGCTCACAATGGGGCGTTGTGCTCCCCATTTCGCAGGAGATGGGCTTTTTGATTGGCCTGTGTGCGCCATGAAAAACACAGTTGGGGATACAACTAGTCTACAACCCCAGGTTTCATTTAGATTGATCTCAATCGGGCAATAAGAATTTTGACCCCGTCTCATTGTCTTGCTGACTTTCCCCAGGCTGTATTTCAAAGTGTCTATACCCTTTGAGTGAATTGCCACCCCCACCCCCTCCTTTCCCTCAGCTCCAGGCACTCTGGGCCATTGGGTAAAAGCAGAGTACGCAAAAGAAACAATGCATGGATGAAACGTAATATTAATCTCCCTGCCTTGAATGCACACAAAGCGCCGTGGAAGGTGCGCGTTTATAATGGTTGGTGAGTGTTCGCCCAGCTGCGCAATTTTCTCCCGTGTGCCCAACCAAGTCGGGAAAAGGTCATGCAGGGGCTTTGAATAAAAGAGAAGCTCCCTCGTTTGCTCAATTAGCGCCGCTGCTGACACACACAGACGCACACGCAATATCAGCTAAAGAACCAAGCCACTGCAAAAACATATAATATAAATAGATTAATCTTTATTTATAAAACTTGTTTTACACAAAATATATCTGTTAAAATCAAATATTTACATTTTAGGCTACGGGAAGCTGAGAGTGCATACATTAATAAATGTCTCCTTGACAACTATTTTTTAAAAAAAGACATACACACACAAATAAACTACAGGCAGTAGCCTTGATGTTGCTGCCCAGTCACACAACTCATACATGCCAGCTCGCCGCCCCGCTGACAGCTGGTTGTCAAAACACTGTCAGGAAAAAAAAGTGGCAGTGAACGTTCTGCTACAACACTGTTTGACTGTATGTACAAAAATATGTCTTCGTGTTAAAACAGTTTGTTGTATGGTACAGCTTTGTTATGAAAGGAGAGGACACGTACATCACGAAAAAAAGAAAAACAAAAGTCTGTTGACGCATCTTTTATGTTGTACATCTTCAACAGATGTGGCAGCTGAGGAAGGCAGTCCGGGTCTGATGAACTACTGACGAACAGATCTTGTAGACAGCGCCGTCCCTGCAGAGTCTGCTGTGTCACATTTTAATTGCACTTATTCAAACAGTTTTTTTTACTTCCACGCGTCAACGTGTCCAATTCCCTCCTTCCTGTGAGGACTACGCTCTATGCAACAAGATGCTCCCTCTCTCACGCATTCATACTCATTCTCCCTGTTTGTCACTATTGCTTTGCTCCTGCAGAAGCAGCCCGAGTGAGGGAGGCAACAGATCACTTGGAAGCACAGAGAGCAAGACAGATCTGATGCCTTTATCGAGTCTTTCGAAGCATTTCTGGAAGAAGTCAGACGCTTTTCTTCTTTTTTTTGCGCGCACACGCTGCTATGCGGTTCATTTACATGACAGCCTCAGTACCTGTCAAACCAAGTTGTGAAGTCCAATAACTCCTGTTCCTCTGAGCTCAGAGGCTCATAGCCACCTTCATCTGATGAGTAGGTGGAGTGAGGCGACTCCGGGTCGGCAGAGTAGCTGTTGGAGAGTGTCGGGGATGGCAGTCCACACTGGAAAGCAGCCGACACCGCGTCGTGTTCGTCTAGAAGTTGCTGTAAAGCTCTGATGTACTCCACCGCGGACCTCAGCGTCTCCACTTTGCTCATCTTCTTGTTGGCGGCGCCGTTTGGCACATGCTGACGCAGAGTCTGGAAGCCCATGTTAACCTGTTTGACCCGGTTCCTCTCTCTTTCGTTCCGCCTGGCCACGGCCACAGGCTGCTGCTGGGGGATGGAGTAGCCGAGGCCGTTGAAGCTCAGGCGACGCTTGCAGCGCAGGAGCTCCGGAGAGCTGGAGCGCTGTCTCTTCAGCACCTTGGCTTTGCTTTGGTAGCCGGCAACGTTGGTGTTCTGGTGCACAGCGCTCACCGAGCAGTCCTGGGCCGGGGCGTGCAGGCTGATGCTGGCGCGTCTTTCGCTAAGTCCAAAGGTGAATGCAGTCTGCGTGGTGGTGATGGTCGCGGTTTCCATCTCGCAAAGAGGGACAGCCTGAAACTTGTGGCAGGAGGAGAGGAGTTGGCAGTGTACAGCTCTCGTGTCCTTCGCGTGGGGACCGTGTGGCTAACTGTAGTCCAAGTCTCTCTTGACTGCTTACTCCACGAGCCGATCTGACCCAAACTTTGGCAGCACTCCTCTTTTTCAACACGCGCCTCCAACACACACCCCACCCACCCCTTTTTTGAGACGCACGCTTCGTCGCGAGGCCCCGCCCCCGCTGTGTGATTCTTCTGCACACCGACTCCCCCGGGCCAGGCGCGTGGCTCCGGGAGCTCAATAAACAATCCCGGGCTTTCACTGCGCCGGGAGCACGCGCTGGGCTCATTTACATTCCAATGTCTCTAACTTGAAGGCCCATTGGTCGATTCAAACGGTCTGCAACCGTGCGAAAAGAAAGAAAGGGAGGAAAAAAAAGACAGAGAAAGAAGAAAAAAGAAGATAGAATGAAAAAGTGAATGGTGTGGTTCTTTGAAATGCCTTTTGAATTTGACAATGTACCTCTGGCAAGTCTTCAAATTATCAGTCTTACCCCCCCTTCCAGCTCTTTACAATCGCAAATACCAAGGACGCTCTCTGCTGTATCCAGGCTACAGCTTTGCAAACTGCAAGCGTGTCTCTGAACACAGTTAAAAAAAACTCGCGGAGACGCGATTCATGAGATGATTGTGAAAGGAAATATAATATTACTGCTACCTCTCGAGTCTGTGCGCTGCAGGTCCACTTTGTTTGCGCTTAATCGACAGGCTATCCCGGAAAAATCTTTTTCAGATGCACGACATCTCTTCATTTCCCATCTGTGTTTTAAAAAAGATTCCCTTATGTCATAATAATCCCATTTACGTCTGTAGGAGGATACAGGCTAGATGAACCCAAACCCAAATGTGCTGGTGCACGGATGCAACATTTCAGCACCACAGCGTGACTGGACAGCTTCATGCAACCATTTTCTTCTAAACTGAAGCCTTTTGTTTGTTTGTTTGTTTTATTTGAATTTAGTTTCATTCAGCATCGACTCGAATCTTAGAAATATATTTTGTATGTGTAAAACTTTCCTTAACAGCAAAAACACCAACAACTCGGCGTGGAAACGGAGAGTTTTGCATCGTGTTTTTCTAAAGGACATTTGCAGCATCTGGCGGTGAAAAATAGCAACTACATCATCCAAAGCCACTTTACACTTTTGAAGAAAACGAAATTCCCTGATAGTTTTCCCCCCTCTGTGCCCAGATTGCGCTTTTCTACTGTACTATGTGGCTACATTTAGTTTACACTTACATTACATGTTAGTTAAGGCAAAGTGACTTCTTGTTCGAGATTTCTGGGACAGAATCTGAAATTCGTACTCGGGGCCCGCTGTTATTATCGCTCCACTATCAGCATTGCGTCATCCAATACCGGAGGGTAGAGTCACACCCGGTTACCCTAAGCCTGTTTATTGGCTCACATTCAGCTGGAACTTCCATGAGAGAATTCACAATCATTTTATTGTCGTTTTTTAATGACATTTTATGTCATTATGTATGTGTATGTTTGGGGTTTTTTTTGCATTTTGTGCATCCATTCGCTTCCGCTTCTCCTTTTCAGGGTCGCCGGGGGCGCTGGAGCCTATCCCAGCTGTCATAGGGCGAGAGGCGGGGTACACCCTGGACAGGTCGCCAGTCTGTTGCAGGGCCAACACACAGGGGCAGACAACCATTCGCACTCACATTCACTCGCACATTCACACCTGATGGTATTTTCTAATATTTAAATGTATTTGATTATCTGAAATATTTAAGGATGACACACATAGAAAAAAAAACAGGAAATCACGATGGGGTAAAGTTTATTTTACACCACTAAATATAAATAAAAGCTTAAGTGGGTTCACTTTGGGGACTTTCTAAACCTGCCTTAAGAATCCATACACTCCTGCATTCATATGCTTGAGTGCCATATAATAATCAGCTGTGTTTTGATGTTGTTAATTGTATATGCGTATTTTCCATGTAATATAATATAATTACACAGTGATAAACATAATAACCTGCCTTTTCCAGCTTGAAGGATAGCGTCTTGTAGCCTATGGAAAAACCCCGGTGTGGTGCCAAGGTTTCGCTTCTCTCCGTAAAAACAGCAGGGGGCGCCAAGTGAACGCTCTGTAAGAACAAGTTCATTCAACACGGTCACTGCCACGACTGATCTGTGGACCTTAATAACCTCATTTTAGGGGAAGTCATATAATCCACACTGTATGCTGCTTTCTCGCTTTGAGACATCGTTAAATAAAAAACAAACATCCTGCATCATACCTCCAGGATTTTAGTTTCTGTTCTGAACAAACTGCTTTTGTTTTGAGACACGCTTTCATTGGAACCTACAGTGCAAGTCAGTCTTGGCTCAGCATAAGTCTGACTTCCTGACATAGTGCTGATTAGGCATATCAAACATTATTAAAAATTATATTAGAAACCATCTTAGAGCAAAATTGTAGAATATGAAATCTGTTTCAAAGGGCACCATTCAAAGGGCAGTCACTGGGCTGGACAACTGCCCAAAAGACGCACCTGATCACAGGATATTATTAGAGCATTATCAATTAACCAACAATGACACAGGGCTGGAACAGAGGTATCCTATAAATGATCCTAAAACAAGCAATATACAAAAGGATGGACAACAATTGCCAGAACTCTGTGTGTGTATAATACAATGCAACTCAATAAAGGCAAACATCGTAGCCAGTAAATCAATAAATCTTGAATCAACAAACGCTATCTTCTTGGAATATCAACCCATGTTCATACAGCTTCAGGTGAAAACTCATTCACCTGTAAGGGCGGTGGTTTTCTTTTTTTCAATCAAACCGCTTTACTCCAGTGTATCAACACCCCCGCAAGTCTGTTTATTTTTCTTACTTACAATACGTTAAGCCAGCACTGCTCCCT